CCCTCTGCACATCATGAATGACCAGGACCATCATTTCAGACCCCTCTGCACACCATGAATGACCAGGACCATCATTTCAGACCCCTCTGCACACCCTGAGTGACCAGCAGCATCCCTCTAAACCCCTCTGCACACCGTGAGTGACCAGCACCCCTCAGACCCCACTCACCAGCTGAGGTACCTCTTCTCCTGGTACACCTCTCCCTCCTCACCCCCAAAGGACACGTTGAGGGCGCTGATGGTGCAGCTGCTGCCCAAACTCTCCCCAAAATAAGCCTGGACCACGCTGGCCATGGGCAGGGTCCCGTTGGCCACCTGCAGCCCCCCAGCCCTGCACTGGATGCCGTCCTCACGCCGGGGGCTGGGGGAGCCGTAGGCCGTGGCTTTCCACTGCAGGAATCCCAAAACGGAGCTGCTGTTGTGGGGCTGAGCCAGCAGGGACAGCACCTGGGGAGGGAGGGACAGCAGGGTCACCCTGCGAGTGAAAGACTTTGAAAATCACGGGGGTTTAGGGTTAAAAGGAAAATGAAGCTTAGTAGGCCTTGGGGGAAAAAAAATTAAAAAATAAAAATAAATAACCTAGGAACATGTAGGCCGTGTGCCTTGCTAGAACTGCACCTTGCTAGAGCTACATGATAAATGATGTAATTGTTAGATAGGATTCTAGATTAGGGGTCCAAAGGGGACAAGATGGAGGGAATTGGGTGTGTAGGATCTCTGTCCATGGAAAAGAGTTTTCAATCTTACAGGATGAATTACAAGCTCTGAGGGTTTGATTTAAGTAATAATTAAGTGTGGCACGGGTGCAAAAGTAACACTTTAGGATTCTAGATTAGGGTCCAAAGGGGACAAGATGGAGGAAATTGGGTGTGCCTTGTCCTTTTTCTCCTTCTTCATGCCCTCCATGTCTCACTGTGGTGTTGGCATTTTTCTGTTGGTTTAAGTTAAGGACACAGTGTTCAATGTAGATAATAGATATTGGCACGTTATTGTAAATAGGGCACACATAGTTTCTAATATATAATGTTTGTAACATTATATTCCAGAAACTGGGGACTGGGTTCAGGCTGGGGACACATTGTTCAATGCAGGAGACAGATATTGGCAATTATTTTAAATATAGCACAGGGAGTTTGTGGTATTTAATGTTTGTAACATCCCACTGACGGCAGAGCCCCGCAGGACAGACAGAACACGTTATAGGTAATACGTATAAGAATATATGTATATTCTTATATATATACATATATATATATATACATATAAGAATATATGTGTATATATTCTTATATGTATAAGAATAAACCACTTTGCAAACCAGCACAGATGATCCACGACTTCTTCTTTGCCAGAGGGGCCCACAGAGACTTTCTACAATCCCGGGAATCATTGGAATATCACATTCTACAATCCCTGGAATCACTGGAATATCACTTTCTACAATCCCGGGAATCACTGGAATATCACATTCTACAATCCCGGGAATCATTGGAATATCACATTCTACAATCCCTGGAATCACTGGAATATCGCTTTCTACAATCCCAGGAATCACTGGAATATCACATTCTACAATTCCTGGAATATCACTTTCTACAATCCCGGGAGTCCCTGGAATATCACTTTCTACAATCCCGGGAATCCCTCTCTACAATCCCGGGAATCATTGGAATATCACTTTCTACAATCCCGGGAATCCCTCTCTACAATCCCGGGAATCCCTGGAATATCACATTCTACAATCCGTGGAATATCACTTTCTACAATCCTGGGAGTCCCTGGAATATCACTTTCTACAATCCCGGGAATCACTGGAGTATCACTTTCTACAATCCCGGGAACCATTGGAATATCACTTTCTACAATCCCTGGAATCACTGGAATCTCACTCCCTACAATCCCTGGAATCTCACTCTGTACAATCCCTGGAATCTCACTCTCTACAATCCCTGGACTATCACTCTCTACAATCCCTGGAATCTCACTCTCTACAATCCCTCTCTACAATCCCTGGACTATCACTCTCTACAATCCCGGGAATCCCTGGAATCTCACTCTCTACAATCCCTGGAATATCACTCTCTACAATCCCTGGACTATCACTCTCTACAATCCCGGGAATCACTGGAATATCACTCTCTACAATCCCTGGAATCTCACTCTCTACAATCCCTGGAATCTCACTCTCTACAATCCCTGGAATGTCACTCTCTACAATCCCAGGAATCTCACTCTCTACAATCCCTGGAATGTCACTCTCTACAATCCCTCTCTACAATCCCTGGAATGTCACTCTCTACAATCCCTGGAATGTCACTCTCTACAATCCCTCTCTACAATCCCTGGAATGTCACTCTCTACAATCCCTCTCTACAATCCCGGGAATCTCACTCTCTACAATCCCTGGAATCTCACTCTCTACAATCCCTGGACTATCACTCTCTACAATCCCTCTCTACAATCCCTGGAATCTCACTCTCTACAATCCCTGGAATCTGGCGATCCCGGGGCTCACCTGGAAGATGCTGGGCGTGTACTCGTCGTCGATGGACCTGCGGGAGCGCAGGCTGCGGGCCGCCCCCGGCGCCTCCACCGTGGCCAGCTGCAGCAGGAAGCGGGAGCCGTTCCCGCGGGGAGCCACCCCGGCCAGCAGGAACTGCAGCTGGCAGCTCTCGGCGCTGTGCAGCAGCCGCGGCAGCCGCGCCGCGCGGCCCGCGGAGCTGTAGGCCGTCAGCTGGGGACGGGGGACGGGGGACAGGGGACAGCCAGGGACAGGGGACAGGGGACAGGGGACAGCCAGGGACAGGGGACAGCGAGGGACAGGGGACAGCAAGGGTCAGTGAGGGACAGGGAGGGACAGGGGACAGGGGACAGGGGACAGGGGACAGGGGACAGGGGACAGCGAGGGACAGGGGACAGGGGACAGCCAGGGACAGGGGACAGCAAGGGTCAGTGAGGGACAGGGGACAGAGAGGGACAGGGGACAGGGGACAGAGAGGGATAGGGGACAGGGGACAGGGGACAGAGAGGGACAGCGAGGGACAGGGAGGGACAGAGAGGGACAGGGGACAGGGGACAGGGGACAGGGGACAGGGGACAGGGAGGGACAGGGGACAGGGGACAGAGAGGGACAGGGAGGGACAGGGGACAGGGGACAGGGGACAGAGAGGGACAGGGGACAGCGAGGGACAGCGAGGGACAGGGGACAGGGGACAGGGGACAGCGAGGGACAGGGAGGGACAGGGGACAGAGAGGGACAGGGAGGGACAGGGGACAGAGAGGGACAGGGAGGGACAGGGAGGGACAGGGGACAGAGAGGGACAGAGAGGGACAGGGAGGGACAGGGGACAGGGAGGGACAGGGAGGGACAGCGAGGGACAGAGGACAGTGAGGGACAATGAGGGACAGGGGACAGCGAGGGACAGGGAACAGAGGGGCAGGGGACAGACAGGGATAGGGAGAGACAAGGGGACAGAGGGACAGTGAGAGACAGAGAGGGACAGGGGACAATGATGGACAGGGGGACAGTGAGTGACAGGGGGACAAAGAGGGACAGGGGGGCAGTGAGGGATGCTCTCTGCCCCTGGACACGTCCCCTGCCCCATGGACGTGCTCCCTGCCCCTGGACACGTCCCTTGTCCCCTGGACATATCCCCTGACCCCTGGCCATGTACCTTGCCCCCTCCCGTGCCCCCTGCCCCTGCCCATGCCCCCTGCCCCATGGACGTGCTCTCTGCTCCCTGGAGACATCCCCTGCCCCTGGACATGCCTCCTGCCCCCTGCCCGTGCCCCCTGCCCCCCAGCCGTGCCCCCTGCCCCTGCCCGTGCCCCCTGCCCCTGCCCGTGCCCCTGCCCCCGGACACACCCGGAACGCCAGGCTGCCGTTGGAGAAGGCCCCGCCGGGGTCGGCGGCCGGCGCCCCGCGGAGCTCGGCCGTCAGCGCCGTGCGGTTCAGGCGGAGGCTGTCCCAGGAGAACTCCGCCAGGTCATAGGCGGGGTAGAAGAGCTCCCCCGAAGGAGCTTTGGCCTCGCTGAACTCGAAGAGCTGCAGGGAAAGGGAGGGGAGAGGAGCTGGGAGCACCGGGGGCAGAGGTGCCTCAGGCAGGCAGCTCAGACACTTCCCTGGATGGGGATGGGTGGGTGGGGATGGATGGATGGATGGATGGATGGATGGATGGATGGATGGATGATGGATGGATGGATGATGGATGGATGGATGATGGATGGATGGATGGAAGAATGGATGGATGGGGATGGATGGATGGGTGGGTGGGGATGGATGATGGATGGATGGATGGATGGATGGATGGATGGATGGATGGATGGAAGGATGGAAGGATGGAAGGATGGAAGGATGGATGGATGGATGGATGGATGGATGGATGGATGGATGGATGGATGATGGATGATGGATGGATGGGGATGGATGGGGATAGATGGATGGATGGATGGATGGATGGATGGATGGATGGATGGATGGATGGATGGGTGGGGATGGGTGGGGATTTCCCAGGAGCTTCGAAGCTGCCCAGGGACCCCCTGCACCCCCAGGTGTCCCAGACCACCCACTTGCTGTGGGAATCCAGAGCTTCCCTCTGGCTGCCCTGGGACCCCCTGGACAGAGCCCCAGAGACACTGGCTGTGATCTCTGGCCATGGAAAAGAGTTTTCAATCTCACAGGATGAATTACCAGCTCTGAGTGTTTGATATCAGTAAT